TTATAGGGACAGAGTTAAGGACAGAGTTAGGAGACTCATGGTACAACAATCAGAGAAACAAACAAAACAGACATGACAAAGAAAACTAATTTGCAATCCAAAGCCTTTATCAAAAAGTGTCCCGCCTCTGTACAATTTTCAAAAATGATGCAGTTGAAATGCTAGAGTCCCACTTTCCATGGTGCATATTTTAAAGTAGTTTACACATGCAGAGTTGTTGAGTTTTCTTCTACCCTTGTAGTGCACCCCCTAAAGAGCCATCGATGATATACTGATTCCATCCCTAAATTTAGTGCAAACACAGCCAAACGCACAACATTTCTCAATCAACAGTCCAGGGGATGCATTTATGTCTATATTGCAGACTGAACTTGGTTACCTCCTTCCAATATTCACCAGGCAATTTTCAGTGAGGGAGAAACAAAACTCACAATACCAAAGGACATCTGGACACTCTCCACCAACTTCCACCGGGTACTCTCCAGTGAGCTCTCCAGACCAAATCCCAGATCAGACATGAAATAGGCCCCCTAGTTATGCTACAGCTGAACCTCAAACTGCATTCCAGCAGGCACCCCAGGCTCCTCCTGCAGGACTGGACACAGCACCCACTCTATGCCTGCTCCTGACCTCCTTCTGGGCACACCTCGCCAGGGATTGGCTGAGTCTCCAGTAATATTCAGACTGTTCTTCTGCCTTTCCTCCCACTGCGACCCTCTAGAACAATGGTCTTCAAACTGTGGCCCAGGAGCCAGATTTGGCCCCTTGCTTGCCTTTATCTGGTACTGGGGGCACTATTCATCCCACTGAAGGGGGACATTAGTCTGCCCACTGACACCAACAATGGGGTATAATTCCTGCTACTGACATCAGCGTCTAGCCTAAACGGTCATCACTGCAAAGAGACGACTGACACTTAGCATGGGATGCCTGCAGGGAGGTTTCCCGCACCGCTCCTGTGTGTACTATAACAAGCCTGGGTTCACACAGGAGCAGTGGGGAAACCTCATGCCATTTGGCACAGAAATCACAAATCACACCGCAAAGTATCGGTTAAGGCAGTGGTTGGGCGAGCCACATGCGGCTCTTTACACGCTTTAATGCGGCTCTTGTGTGCCGGGCGCCCGCTCCCCTCCCTCCTCTCGGGCGGCAGGGACTCTGCAGCGTGATCCAAAAAAAAAAAAAAAACAGCCAGGGCAGCGCGCTCAAATGCAATGATTGGCCAGTCTCGCTGCCACTCACATCCTGATAGCCAGTGATTGGCTGTCAGGATGTGTGTAGGCGGAGCAGCGTGACGAACGTGAGAGGAGCTAGGCTCCTCTCACAGTCCGCCCTGAAGACCGGAACGGCGCGGGAACACAGCGAGAGGAATGCGCGGAGCAAAGGTAAGTGAATTGACACAGGGGGGACTTGGCTTACTACTTGGGGGGGGGAATAGTACTGTGGGGGATGAAATATATACTATATGAGGGATGAATTAATATGGGGGATGAATTACTATATGGGGGATGAATTACTATATGGGGGATGAATTACTATAAAAACTTATTGAAACTAAAAACAGTGTGTACCATCCTATGTATTTTCAGTTTTAAAAATGTGGCTCTCAAAATAAATTTCAATCGTGGTTTTGGCGAGATTTGGCTCAGTTGAAAAAAAAGGTTGCCCACCACTGGGTTAAGGTATCGGGAGTATTTTCACAAGTACTCATGAAAATACTTGGTATCTGCACTGATACTGATACCAGTATTGGTATTGGTGCATTCCTACTGTTTTTCTAGCATCTGGTTCTATTTCATTTGCATCAAACTAACTGATGTATACTGTCAACAAACAATTTATATTTAACATTATACTACTACTGGGTTCTTCATGGCACAGATTTCACATTCCACAAACATCACTTTGAGATTCTGGTGCATGTTGATATGGATGCTAAACACAACACACATCTGCAAAATCATGCTGTAAATGTCCCATTTTATCACATCCCCAAGGTATTCTATGAGATTAATATACAGTGACTGGTCTACCATCCATTTTTCCAGTGTTCAAATGTCCACTATTGGTAAGCCTGTGCCCACTGCAGCCTCAGTTGTTGGTTCTTGGCTAAAAGAAGTGGAACCCAACATGGTCTTCTCTTGTTGTAGCCCATCCACCTCGAGGTTCAAGGTGTTGTTCCTTCTGAGATGCTCTTCTGCTCTCCACAGTTGTAAAGAGTTGTTATTGCATTACGTTAGCTAGTAGGTACCACAGTATTTGTAAACCCGTGCCCACTGCAACCTCAGTTTTTTGGTTCTTGTTTAAAAGAAGTAGAGCGCAAAATAGTCTCTTGTTGTAGCCCATCCACCTCGAGGTTCAAGGTGTTGCTCTTGCTGAGATTCTAGCTTGATCCTGTCTGACTATTGACCTCCCTCATCAGTAAGGCTTTCCACCCTCAAAACAGCCGATCACTAGATGTTCTTGAAAATCCCAGGAGATCAGCAGTTGCAGAAATGGTCAAATTGTTTAATCTGGCACAATCAATTATACCACTAAGATCACATTTTTACCCCATTTTGGCGTTTGATATGAATGTTACGTTACGCTCCTGACCTGTTTCTGCATGATATCATGGCTCATTCAAGCCAGGTGCAAGACAAGAAAAAAAAGCTTTGTTCAACAAGAGGCCAATTCACACCCCAAGGTTGTGGATATTATAAAACAGCATCTTCCATTTCTGTATGCAGACAAAACACTCTATGATATACTGAAAGATGGGGGCAATTTGTCAAGTAGGGGGGCTCCTACACTTGGCTCGATATTGCTGCACAGTCTATATTGCTCCAAGGATTATCAGAAGTCTGGCACATGGCTGCGGGTGTCGGAGTCTTATCCCTGTGGATACAACACTTGCAGACAATGTGCTAAACATACAGTCAGGTCCATAAATATTGGGACATCGATACAATTCTAACATTTTTGGCTCTATACACCACCACAATGGATTTGAAATGAAACGAACAAGATGTGCTTTAATTGCAGACTGTCAGCTTTAATTTGAGGGTATTTACATCCAAATCAGGTGAACAGTGTAGGAATTACAACAGTTTGCATATATGCCTCCCACTTGTTAAGGGACCAAAAGTAATGGGACAATTGGCTTCTCAGCTGTTCCATGGCCAGGTGTGTGTTATTCCCTCATTATCCCAATTACAATGAGCAGATAAAAGGTCCAGAGTTCATTTCAAGTGTAGGGGGGCTCCTACACTTGGTTTGATATTGCTGCACAGTCTATATTGCTCCAAGGATTATCAGAAGTCTGGCACATGGCTGCGGGTGTCGGGGTCTTATCCCTGTGGATACAACACTTGCAGACAATGTGCTAAACATACTGTAAGAAAAGCACCATGGTAACATCCTTTGTGACTGGGAAAGTTGATTCTTTGAAACACTGCATGAACTGTAACACCAAAATGGTAGTATATGTTTTAAAATGTAGTATCTGACAGATACAAGATGTTGGAGGCACAATTTGGTCCTTAAAAAGTATGATTTCAGAACACTACAATGATACCAACAATTTTAACACTAAAAACATATCTAATGTATCTAGACACTTTAGGAAGGTGCGTTAGGGCAATCTTCATTTATTTTATTTCTTTGGTATGGAACAGATCAAGAAACCTGTGAGAGGAGGGGACACAAATTGCATCTTTCTCCAACGTGAGGTGTGGTGGATCCATGCGCTTCAGGCTAGCTCTCCACATGGTTTAAATAGCAGAATGGATGTGAATCTTTTACTTAAAGACCTAGCTTTTCCCTAAACACCTAGCTCCACCTGTATAATGCAACCTGTGTCTAAATATTGTATTTAAGAATGTTTAAGGCTTATAGCGGGGGCCGGCAACCCATTGATCGCAGTCTACCCCTCAACCATGGGCAGGTGACAAGTAGACAGCAAACAAGTCCCTCTTCCCCTCCCTTCCCCCAGAATCCTCCGCTGCTGTCATCCTCAGTGTACAGCACAGAGCAGAAGGCAGCACGGTTTAGAACGGAGGGTGGGAGGAGGAACTGGCCAAATGAACTTTCATAATAACCCACAGATGATTAGTTGCTAGGTCAGTCCTAGCAACCAATTACCAGCTTGTTAACATGAAAAGTTCATTTGGCCAGTTCCTCCTCCTGTCCTCCGTCCTGAGCTGTGCTGCCTTCTGCTCTGTGCTGTACACTGAGGATGACAGCAGCAGTGAAAGAAGCAAGAGGGAAAGGGGGGCAGAAAAGACATTGGTGGGGGGGAGGGGGTCAGAGGTCACTGCTATGTTGGAAAGGGGGGGCAGAGGGCACTACTGGGGAGGTGATGTGCAGAGGATACTGCTATGGGCAGGGCCACCCCCATAGTAGTATCCTCTATGGCCCTTCATATCACCCCCCCAAAGTAGTGTCCTCTGCCCCCCTGACACCAACCTGCCCTACTGACACCACTGCCCCTGACTGACCCCATCCACTGCTCTACTGACTGACACTCTCCCTACTGACACTGTCCACTGCCCTGCTGACTGACACTATCCACTGCTCTACTGACAACAACCTCTTCCCTATGGCCACTGCTCTACTGACTGACACCATCCACTGCTCTACTGACTGACACCAACCTCTTCCCTACTGACACTGTCCACTGCCCTACTGACTGACACTATCCATTTTTAAGGTAGGCTAAGTTTGTATGTTTACAGTGACATTTGTTTTACTTTTTTTTAAATGGCGCTGAACCCCGGAGATCTTTGTTCTCTTTCATGTTGTTCAGGTAGATCTCCACCTCTCAAAGGTTGCCTTCCCTTGGCTTATAGGTTGCTTATCTTCAGTTCACTATTGCTTTTTTCTGCTTTTTTTCTGCTTGGTTTCCTCTCCATGTGTCAGTAATTTTCCTAATTGCTTTTAATTGATACACTTTTATGTAGTATTTTCTGGGTAGTATTTTCTATGCTATATATGTTGAGTTTTTAGTGATATTTTGTATGCTATTAACCACTTCCCGTCTGGTCTATGTACATAAAGGGCCGGAAGGGAGCAGTGCAGGAGTGGGTTGTTGTTCATAAATGGCGCCCTGCATTTACAGGCTGTGCGCGCTCCCTGGTAGTGTGCGGCACTGCGATCCGGTGCCCACACCAATCGCTGTACGTTACCTCTGTTTGAGGTCCCGATCATGTGATCACTGATTGGCCAATCAGTGATAACATGAATAGTGGTAAGCAAGATGTCACTTGCTGACATTATTGCTTACTACTAGTGAAATCTGTGAATGATCACAGAGTTCACATGGTACAGGGCTATTCACAACAGCCTTGTACCATGTGACAAGCTGTGACCAATCACAGCTCACACAGTATTTCTCAATGGCTGTAGCCAGCCAGAGAGAAGGAGAAATGATTGCTTTTACAGCCTTTATGGGTGTAAAAGCAATCAGTGTAAAATTTAAAAAAAAAAAAACTTAATCACCCCCCACAAGTAGTACAGTGTCACTATGGTGACACTGTACTGCTAGGGTGACAGTTTGTTAAAAACAAACAAACAATATAATAATAAAATAAAAAATGTACAAAATTTTTTTTTAAAAAATTAAATTTTTGGTTATAAACTAATTTGGGTTATAACTGAATGCATTTTGGCCAAGATTTATGAAGAAAAATTATTTATTTTCAAACTTTTATAAGAAAAACCCTTTTTTTCAAAATTTTTGGACTTTCTATTTATATAGCAAAAAAAGAAAAAATCCCAGTGGTGAATAAATACCACCAAAATAAAGTTTTATTATCTATCACAAATGCTAAAAAATTCATTGGGTACAGTGTTGCATGACCGCGCAATTGTCATTCAAAGTGTGATAGCGCTGAAAGCTGAAAATTGGCCTGTACAGGAAGGGGGTGAAAGTGTCCGGACAGGAAGTGGTTAAAAAGGCTTGTGAAGCCGAAACGCGTCTGTTTTATGGATCCCGTATTTATGTAACCAATAAAGATTTCCATTAAGAAGCTTTCTGAGTTTCCGGCTGCTTGTATTGTGAAGGTTGCATTGGTGTGTGTTGAAAAATCTACTGCATGCAGTAACTTTGTTTCAGCACAGTGTGGTGTGACTCAATCCACTAATGGAACTGTTCACTTTTGCCAAAAGTAGTAAACAGTGTGATGTGTCGGGATCTGCTGATCAGCACTGTTTCCTCCCAACGGCAAACCAACAACATTCATGCATTCAGTGTGGCTGCTGGTGTGAACGCGCCCTCATGCATTGCACTACTGCCACATAATTGGCTGATTGGATAATTGCATGAATAAGCAGGTGTGCAGGTGTGTTACTAATACCTTTCTGAATATATGATAACAGATACACTTTAGGAATGTTTGTACGTTTTTCAAGGGGTGTATATCTAAAAATCTTGCAAAGCAATTTGCCTAGTGAAAATGCATGTACATTAGCTCTGTGTGAATAAAAAATACTGCATTTGGCCTCTAGATATCGTTAGTATAGGAATTTGCTAATTTTAGCACAGTCTAGTGGCCACATGTGGTATTTTCTATTTTAAAGCAATGAAGAACATTTGTCCAGCACAGAAAATAGCCGAATAACTTTTGTTTTTGCCCCACTCACACAGAATAAATGGACATGCACTTGGGCAAATTGCTATTATAATTGTTTATAAATACACCCCTTAGTGTTTTATGATAGTATCATCCCCTTAAAATACAAAGCAAACACACAACAAACATATATATATATAGTTGCAAGAAAAAGTATGTGAACCCCTTAGGATTACGTGGAGTTTTGCATGAATTGGGCATAAAATGTGCTCTGAACGTCATCTAAGTCACAACAATAGAAGAACACAGTCTGCTGAACATAATACCACACAAACATTAGATGTTGCCATGGTTTAGTTGCACATAACATGTAAACATTCACAATGCAGGGAGGAAAAAGTATGTGAACCTTTGGACTTAATAACTGGTTGACCCTCCTTTGGCAGCAATAACCTCAACCAAACGTTTCCTGTAGTTGCAGATCAGACCTGCACAACGATCTGGAGTAATTTTGGACCACTCCTCTTCACAAAAAAACTGTTTCCCCAAGGGGTTTACATACTTTTTCTTGCAACTGTATATTATTATTATACAGTATTTATATAGCGCCAACAGTTTGCTCAGCGCTGTACATTACAATGGAGGACAATACATGAGACATTACAATAACAATACAGTGCGATACACGAGGGGTTCGAGGGCCCTGCTCCTTGCAGCTTACAATCTAGGAGGGGAGGGGATAGTGGTACAGGAGGAAAAGCTGTGGGGGATGGAGTGGTAGGAAGAGTGGAGGAGATCGGCAGTTAGCAGAGGGTGGGGTAGGCTTCCCTGAAGAGATGGGTTTTTAGGGTGCGCCTAAAGGAGAGGAGAGTGGGTGATAGTCTGATGGATTGGGGTAGGGAGTTCCAGAGGATGGGTGATGCCCTGGAGAAGTCCTGGAGGCATGCATGGGAGGAGGAGATCAGGGAACTAGAGAGAAGGAGGTCTTGTGAAGAGTGGAGAGTGCGTTTTGGGTGGGTATGTATATGTGTGTATATATATATATATATATATATATATATATAGTGGGGATAGCTCAGGTGGGGGATCTCCTTCCCTGGGAAAACGGTAGACCGCACAGCAGGCTTTCGTCAAAATCTGACTGGTTGTCAGTTTTATTTAAAAAGGTTTGCAGAAAATATCAAAATAAACAAAACATGAACATAAACCCTTGCCATCCAGGCACTAACTACACAAAAGACGTTTCCTGAGGTGAAGGGCTTCTCCCTGTCACCACAATAAAACAAAAGCAAACCTTTTCTTGTAGGTATAATACACACACAGCTCTCTCAGAATAGCTCTCCGAGTCCCAGGCCACGAGCGACTCCTTGCTCCAGCCCTGCCCTTTTTATACCACCTGTTGGTGGTCATCAGTGGAGCCCAAACTCTGGTCCGGACCCACCTGCTTAACTGTGGCCCCAAAAACCCGGAGTGGACTCCACCTAAACTGTCAGGTATGAGCATATGCGAGGTGACACACAGCGTCCCTCTATCACCTCGCCGTTCATCCTGTCACATATCCCCCCCTCTGCTCAACCCATTGATTAGGCCAAACATTCCTTCTCACAATGGCATAGTTTCTCTTTCCATGTTTGTTGAGCTTTTACTACTTAGGAAAGACCACAGGGTGGTCCTCCCTTCTCTGATTTGGGACAGCAGACAGCACCTAAGTCCCACATTCAGAGGCATCAGTCATGTACCACAACTCTGTTGTGAAATCTGGGGTCACAAAGCACAGGTTGAGCACAGAGAGCTTGTTTTCAGCCTTTGAATGCGGTCTCCGCCTCAGGCTTTCCACTTAATCATGACCGATTCGACCCCTACCTTTTGTCAGATCTGTCAGTGGAGCTGCAATGGTGCAAAATTGGATAAACCGCCTGTAGTACCCGTAATTCCAAGAAATGCCCGGAGCTTGCTTTTTATTTACAGGTTGGGGCCACTTTTAGAATTGCCTCAATTTTATTGATCTGCGGCCTAATGAGACCTCGACCAATGATGTAGCCAAGATATTTGGCCTCCCTCTAAGCCTATGGCAACACTTTTCTGGGGGTTGGCGTAAGACCTGCTTCCCGCAGCGAATCTACGTACCGCTTGCAAGAGGGACAAAATGAGATTCCCCAGTCTGGAACTGTGGATGACGACATCGTCCAAATAGGCAGCTGCATATTGGCGATGTGGTCTGCATCAACGTCTTGTCCATCATCCTTTGGAATGATGCAGGAAGCCCCATGCAAACCAACGGCATCTGCTTATACTGAAAGGGACCCTCGGGGGTGGAGAATGCCGTCTTTTTTCTTTTGCAGCTTCGTTAAAGGAATTGCCAATAGCCTTTGGTCAGATCTAAGGTGGTTTTATGTATCGAGCCATAGCGTTCCCACCTGTCAATGAGCTCATCCACCCGAAGCATCGTATGTACGCATCAAACTTAGACACACACTGTTCAGTTTCCTGAAATCATTACAGAAACGAATTGTTCCATCTGGTTTTGGGACCAACACTATGGGACTCGACCACTCACTGTGAGATTCCTCAATCACTCCCAACTCTAACATGTCCTTTATTTCCTTTTGCCACCGCTTCCCGCCTGGCCTCGGGTATTCTATTAGGGCTTGACATTTACGCGGACCCCGGGCTGGGTAACTATGTCATGTTGTATGACAGTCGTCAATCAGTCCAGGTAGGTGGGAGAAGAAAATCTCCATTTTTCCTCACAAACTCCTTAACATTCCTTTTGTTGGGCTACTGACAAGGTTTTCCGTTATAGGTACCTGAGGGGCCACGGGAACCACGTCCTTTTTGGGGTGGCTTGGTACTGCCAACAAACTTTCCTGTTCTTTCCAAGGTTTTAAGAGATTAACATGATAGATTTGTTCGGGGTTTCCTTTTTCCTGGGGTGGTAAACTTTATAATTTACTTCCCCACTTTCTCCCAATTTTCAAGGACCTTGCCACTTTGCGAGGAAATTTACTTTCCACGGTGGGGACTAGCACCAGTCACTCTATCCCAGGGTTTAAGGTACGGATCCTGGCACACCCCGGTATAAACCCTTTCTCTGGACCTCCTGGCTTGCTCCATGTGTTCCGAACAAGTTGGGCATGACAGCTGCGATTCTATCCTGCATCTGTGAGATATGCTCAATGACACTTCTATAGGGCGTGGACTCTGTCTCCCAGGTTTCTTTTGCAACATCTCTTAGCAAATCCCCTGGGATGTCTACCATACAGTAATTCAAAAGGTTTGAATATCCTGTAGATGCCTGAGGTACTTCTCGTTATAGGAAACATGAGATATATTGTTCTCCGCAAACAAAATCCCAATTTCTCCCATCTTTGTCCACCACCTTTTTTAAACATAAGTACTTAGGGTCTTGTTAAACCTTTCCACAAGCCCATCGGTTTGGGGTGGGTGGTTAGACCGAGGTACGGAGATGGGAGAATTTTGAACAATTTGCAGAACTCTTTCATAACTAACTCTCTAGACATAAATGGCGTGCCCTGATCCGTTAATATCCTCCTTTGGAATACCTACACGACTAAACACCCGGACAAGCTCTTTGGCGATATTTTTAGCTGAGGTATTACGCAAGGGGATGGCTTTCAGGATACGCGGGTGGCATAGCTCAAGTATCACCAGTATGTGCTGGATGGCCCGGGGCACGGGCAGACTTTCCTACTATGGGACCCAATAGCCCGCCCATTGCCCACTCTTTCAATCGGTACT